CCCCCCCCCCCCCCCCCCTCCATATTTTACAAGGATGAACCCCCCTGCACATGCGTTCTACATACATTAATTCGCATTTCTTGAAGGCACACTCAAGGATATTTATTGGTCTCACGTTAGCGCATACACGACTGCTTCGATGAGCAGCAAACACCCAAGCCTTGACCATTCGTATGCTTTCGCGTGCCGTCGTTGCTGCTTCGTGTTCGAGAACAGACAGGCATACGACCATCATGTTTGCGACCGACACGCTACAAGGAACGAGGGAGAAAGATTGCTCAGCATCATCCTGTTGTTCCGCCGCAACAAACCCAAGGCGGCGGCGGCGGCGGCGGCTCGTCGTCGTCTTCTTCTGCTGCCGCTGCTGCTACTGCTGTGCGTAACATTTATGCCCCACGCCGCCGTCGATCACACAGCATCAGCAGCAGCAGCAGCAGCAGCGTCGGCGGCAGAACCTTTCGCAGAAACATGAGCATTGGTAGCCAAGACAGAGATGATGAGGAGGAAGAAGAGGGGGAAGAAGAGGGACAGGGGGAGGGAGAGGAAGACATCAGCAGTAGCGACGAACTCATTTTCTGTAGAGCCGGGGGGCGTGGAGACGGCGATCAGCCCGGCGGTGGCGATTTTGGCGACGGCGATGGCGGTGGTTGGGGGGGTCGGATGACGAAGGTGACCCATTTTTCCAGGGTCCGCAAGACGGGGACAGCAACGACGGTGACGGCGAATAGACCGGTGGCATCGACGAACAGCCCGGCGGTGGCGAGCTTGGCGACGGTGGTGGCGGGGGGCACCGGGGGATCGAAGCTATGGAGGGTGACGTGACGGAACCGGTGTGGCTTTAAAAGTCGCACGAATCCCTTCACAGTATGGGCAAGCGCCGCCTGGTGGACGGAGGGCCTGATTCCCTGAGATACTCCTTACGGGCCTTGGAGGGAGGAGATTATGAACCATACGAAAGCTTTACCCAGGCCTTTCTTGCGGGTTTCATCAGGATTGCCTCGCCGTCGCGGTCCCAGCTTGGCCTGTTGTTCCATTGCGTGCTGCAGACCGACAAGGACGGCAATGGGATCAACCCCGTCGATGTTCCCGATAGCGCGGACCACTTTCTCAGGGATATGCGGGTCGCTCTCCCCTGCATCCCGTCTACGGGGAGGACTTCCAGGAGAAAGGCAACGGCGGGGCTGCAACTTCGGGGGTCGAGGACGCGAGCGACGGTCCCACTAGGCTGGCAGTGTCGATCCCTGCCGGTGTAATGATACAGCGGATGCTCGACTCCCCCGGGTTCGTCGAGAAGCTGTTGGCCGTTACGTCTGGGCATACGTTGTCGGAGACAGACAGGGTCAACGGAAGGGTGCCCGACGCTCAGGTCATGATTCCTACGCGGAGAACCAATTGGGTTCGACAGGGTGCAGTGTACGGCGATTTTGCCGCTTGTTCGTCCACCTGTGGAGTCGACTCGATCATGGTAGGGCAGGGCGACAAGGAAGACCGTGTGGTGGTGGGTAACACTGTAATGGTGGTTGACGTGCCGGGACAGGCGGAGGGGGCCGATGCACTGCCCTGCCGGCTCGAGTCGTTGGTCTGGAACAAGGATTGCTACATCGCCGGTGGTGGCAGCAACGACCGCATCGTAGCACGCGTTCAGCGCTGTTTGCTGAACAGTGATCTCTCCGCTGAGACGAAGGTAGAGGAGGATGCCCCCAGCACCAAGACCGGCGTGTGAGAGGTCACGAAAGACGACCTGGAGACGACCTCGAAGTTGGCGGGGAGGCGTGAAGTCGTCGTTTCCGACGACGTACCACGGGCGAGGATGGGAGCGCGTTGCCTAGTTTTAGGGGGCTCGGTTTCGTCAAGAGGCCTCGAAATGGGCGGCACATACCCCTGCCTTCACCAGACCCTACAGCCAAGCACCTTCCCTGGAGACCAGGAAAGCAGCGCGCCTCTTTTACGATCGACGACGGACAGGAAACCATTGGAACAATGGCAAGGAGCGCAGAGTGTTCTTGACGTCGGCCCATCTGTCCACGGACGCCTTCGACTTTCGCAACCAGGTATGCATCTCGTCTATTTCTTTTTTTTTGTTCCTTGCGTCCCTCAATTTTTTCAGTCGGGACGCTTCCACCCATTCTGTACATGTAGGATATTATCACGTTTCATGCTTCGGCACTTCTTTCTCTCTCGCAGCAGCGAGTCTTTTCTCGCGATTTCTTCTAGGGGGCACGCAGGAGCCTCGTTGGTACATTATCGCTCGTGCCCGGAGCTCCGTAGGCCTCTGTATCGCGTATGGTTGACGGTCAACGCTGCGAAAACTGGCTCTATTCCCCGAGGGCGCGTTCCGCGCAGACAAAGCCTGGCGACCCGATTCCGAAACCCATCAACAACGACAGTTTGAAATATGCCTCCATATTCAATCACGCATTCGCCGATTCCACATCGCTGTAACTCTTCGTGCCATCGCAATGTCCACAAACAGTACCCACCTACGTTTGCTTATTTACACTTTGCAGCGTTGAACATTAGTCTATGTTGTGTGTCATGTTGGGTTCGGATTCAGATTCGGTTCTCATTGGAAATCTGCCAGCACCTATCCCAAGAGCAATCATTAAAGAGGTCTGAATTTTCGCTGGAAAGTTGTAGTCCGCTCGAGCTGGCTCCAACGTGGAACAACTGTACGTGCTCGATGTTTTGTACTGATGCAAGCGTTATAAAACTGCCCATCGACAATAAGACACGCCGCCCCTCTTCGGGCAAATGCACGTGTGTTCCTGCGTCACCCATGTCCCGAACGGAGACCTTGTACAACATATGTAGGCGTGCCTCTCTGGAGGGGTGGGGTGTCCACCCGCTTTGTTGTTTTGTGGAACCCACACGACGTGCGTCCGGACATGTTTTTATGTACTCCGGGTACGTTTCTTCTTGTCTCGCCCGACTTGCAGGGAGGGCATCCTACTCCATCAAAGCTACGCTGCTCAGCCCTTTCGCGTCGACCTCTCAAGCTTTTCGTCAGCCTGGGGCATGGCTGTTGGTCGGCCTTTCAGCGCTTAGGGTGAGGTGGTAGGATGATTTGGGCTTCATTTTGGAGGTTATCAGCGTTCTGCAGAAGGGGTGCCGGGCAAGGCTCACGATTGCGGACAAGGTCGAGGGGGTGAACAATAGCTGCCAAGCGACCTTATTTTGTTGTTGTCGCCTGGCGAGGGAATGAGTGTGTTATCCTCCTCAACGTCACATCAGGAGTGGCAGGACGGAGATGGCAGAACCGCGGTAGCGAGACATGTGCCAGGCTGACGATGGAGGTGGTAAGAAGAACTTCGTATTGCTACCCATTCCCCCCTTAGAACTCCCTCTCGTTGCCCCACACGTGACGGTGGTGTACAACGACGGGACCCTCCGACCCTTGTTATTGATTCGTCTTGACTGGTGAAAAAAAAATGTACATGCTTCACCTGGGTTCATTTTGTTCCGTGTTCGGCATCGTGTGACCGGCAAAAACGGGCAATGGGCCGACTCTCCCTTTTTTTCTTTTCGTCTTTTTTTGCCTTCTCGGGTTCGCTAGATACACTGTGCTTGGAGGACGTTTTCCTCCGAATCCTATTGTGTGTTCGTTTTTATTGGAGCGAAGCGAGATTTCTAATATGGACTGCCGGCCCCCCGAGTTGCAAGGGCTGGCTGAAACCCAAAAAATCTTGCTTGTCTTTACGCGCTTTGTCTAGGTTTCACAGCATAGACTACATCACTTGTTTTTAGATTGGTCAGCAGACGCACTTTTTTTTTTCGGAGGACACAGCGGATTGCAGCAGAGGACACACACATTGCGGGCGACACCACACAGCAGACAACACACGCACAGCAGACGGCGTATGCAAAACAGGCGACACACACGCACAGCGGGCGACAGCATCTGGGCTCGATGCCGCTGGACTCTCTGGTGTGATGAGGCTATGTTTTTGTGCTGTTGCGCATGATTTGTTTTGACCGCCGCGTTCAACTGCCAGCAATGTGAGCACAGCACCACATTGGTTCTCGAAAGCTAGGACGCCGATCGTCATCGCACTACTTCGAGCGTGTGATCCATTGTGGTGTCTCTGGGCGTGATAGTTGTGCTGGGCATGGGTGCTGTATGTGGAGAGAGCATCGTGGCGATGTGAAATCCGGTTTGGTTCGCCTGGCGATGCGGCCCGACTTCCCGGGCGAAAAACCAAGAATTGGATTCCACGCCGCCACGATGCTCTCGCCACACACAGCACCCATGCCCAACACAACCATCATGCCCCGAGATATCGCAACAATGGATCACACGCTCGAAGTGGTGCCATGACGATTGGTGCGCTAGGTGACGAGAACTGACTTGTACCCTGCTGTGTCGCTGGCAGTTGGAAAAACACCCAACAAAAAAAGAGGGAACAGGGGGTTCACTAGTATGCGGGGGGTATGTTGGACTGCGAAAGCGGGATACAGGAGGGGGGGTAGCCGGTAGGTGAAGTTAACGTTACCACAGCTCTCACAACAGCGTACAGCAAGTGTAGTATCAAGTGTGTGGTGTTTTCACTCTGTTTCCGCCCGTGGACGGACACGTCTGAAGACAGTTACATCTATCAGCTGTCGCGCGTAGCGATAGCTAGTACATCTTCCGGTCGTTGCTTTCTAGAAAAAAATAATGTGTATCGTGCTTGGTACTTGGAGGGGACCACGGGACGTTTTCGTTTGTTTGTGAAGACGGCAACAACTCTCTCTCTCTCTCTCTCACTCTCTCTCTCTCTCTCTCTCCCTCTGTCTATCTTTCGATCTATCTCTGCATATCTTTCAATCTCCCTAGCCTCGATCAAGATTTGTTGCTGATTCCGTCCAGAACCTGGTGAGCCACGTGTAGGCGACGTAACACTCTCTAATTCAATTGCATACGCGGGTTATTCACTGACTCCTCCCGCCACACTCCCACCCACGTTCCTTCCCCCCACCCCGGCGACTAGGTGTTTCCGACTTGGTTTGTTGTGCGACGCGGATTCTCCAGAACGCCATCTACCAATGGGCATGAAGCAGGTGACCAGCAAAATGCAGATGTCATGACACGTGTGCCCCATCGGTCAAAAGGACCTAGCCGATGGAGACTACGACATCGTGCGCAACCGCCGTACCGATGATCAGGGAGCGTGAGCGATGGCGGGTTCTCCGCTCTGCCTGCGATGGATGTCTGGAGACTGTCGAGTGTAGCACTCCTCGTCTTCCGCCCGGCCTTGAGCGTGGCGTCGATGGTAAGATTGCCCGACAGGTGATAATACTAGAGTTCTTGTGTCAAGCGGAAACGTATAGATATGACGCTGCTTTGGGTCTAGTGCTGAGAGCTGTCACCATGTGCGTGCAAACAAACAACGAAATAGTCTACACCAACAACAACAAACGTTTTGCTGCTTTTTGCTCCACCTTTGTGTCGCTCGCAGAAACACCTCACGACCGCGCCATTCCGCAAAGACGTCCAGTCGGAGCTGAAGGCGACAACAGCCACCGTGGTGATGGAGAAACGAGGCGACACACTTGTTGCGCTCGAGCTCCTTCAACGAGACCGTGGCATCCATCGATAGGTCACGGCGAGAGAAGGTACCCGTCCAGACAAAGCGTGTTTTTCTCAACGCCCGTGGCTCTCTTGGTGGGAAAAAAGGCTCACCAACCGCGCGACCTTTGTTATTGTTGTTGCTCTCCTCCACTAATAGCTAAAAGTGATCACCACACCCTTCGATAACACGGGTTTTTTTTCCAACCAGGTGTCCCTCATGAGCATGCTAATAGGGGAACAACACCGCGGGCGGCTGTGCAGTAATCACCAGGGACTGCACTTCGCCAAGAACGCAACACCATACGGTAAGCCGGCTTTTTTGTAGACCGCGTCGATGTATCACCCCCTCCCGCCTTTTGTTTTCCCGTCTCGTGGGACATACAGCAAGTGGCAGTGTTTTTGTGGTCGGGCAGATCATGTTGTGCGGGGTCAACAACCCTCACTCCGAGCAAAGGGGGTAATCGGACCACGGTATGCCAAATTGGCCAGGTACCCTACGAGGAATCAGTTTCACACAGGAGTGCTGCTACCTGTATGTGAAAGTGAAAGCACCACAAAATAAATTAAAGCCATCCGCAGTTGTCATCCGCGTGCAAACAAGTAAGCAACAAGATGCCGAGAAATTCAACGCCAATCACGGCATACCTCACGGCGCTTCGCTCTTGGTAAGAACCCAACGTGCTCCGCTCCGGCCTTGTAGGAAAATGACCGGTTGTGAATACATACACACCCTAGCGCCATGTACATGACACCCCCTTTCTTGTGCAGGAGAGCTCTCGGACTGCCACGCGGGGGAGTCCAGGCACAAGTCGTTCAAGAGCTGAGCGAAGACGGCGAGTGGCCGGGACAACGAGGAGCACATCGTTCGCCGCGAGAATGATGCCACGGCTGCCGAGGTCATGGCGGAAGGAGCGAGGTGGACGGCTTGGCGCGACGACAAGACTATGCGGGAGTGGGTGAAGAAGACCGTGCAGGCTAGTCCGTCCTGCCGTGAGCTTCTCCGGGCCATCTCCGAGTGGGAGATCGGGACCCGCACGGCACCGGGAGACCACGGGGAATCCTTGAGTGGAACGCCCGTCTCGGGCAACAGGCTGCGGCTCCGAGCGCAGAGGTGGCAGGAGAAGATCGGAGCCCTCCTCCGGCGGACGGGACAGGGCGGGCTGAATCTCCTCGATCTCTACAAGGCATGGTTCTCGTGCGGCAGGGAGAAGAGCAACCCCAACATGAGCGAGAACGGCCGCTGTCCTCGTTGTTGGCGCAATCGACACCCGCATACCGTCAACATGGAGGGTGAATGCAGCAACACCTGGATCGGCGCCCCTGAGAGGGTTTCTGGCGGCCTTTGCCGTATGATGGCCTTTTCGCGCAGGAGTCCTCCTGGCAGCACAACCGTTTTCGCTGGTCATGGTTCTTGGCCGTCGTACGCGTAGAAAAGTGAGATTCGAATATATTCGAGCAAAACCCACATGCCAGTGTTAAGACAGTTAATATTCTCGCAAAAATGTCAGCGACATCAGGCAGCAGCGAGACACAATGCAATGCGTGATAAAGCCGTGCGGGTCGTTTCTGCGGGACCCCCGCGCACAACCACCACACACTGCCAATACCCGAGTGTTCGTCGGGTAGGTGTGGCCGCGGGTAGGTGGCGAGACTCATGGCAAGCGTGCAGCACCTGCCGATGGAATACCCTCGTAGGTAGCAGCAGCAGCAGCAGTTACCAAGGCTAAACAAAGTGAAAAGGGTCAGCCAGGAGGGATCTCTACGACGGTGCGCGTCAGAGAGCCGACTATTTCAGCACTTTGAACACCGTCGCGACCACTCTGACGGCGAAAACGGTACCCGCCGTCGAGAAGTTAAACACACTAGGCCGTCAACCAGGAAGGGGCACACGAGGACACCTCTCTGTTCTTCGTGGGAAACAATGCAAGCCCGTCAACATCCCACGGAACAGGAGCTTCCACGCGAACAAGGTCTACTGTCAGAAACATCATGTTTTTGGGCTACCCAAGTACCAGACCTCCCAGGGTGTGTTTGGTGTGGCAGTACTAAACGCGTAGTCAACAACATTTTTGAGAAAGTACCCTCAAATTCGGTCCGAGACTGCTTTTGAGTATTCCGCCTACCCTAGGCGCTAGTAAACATTGAGCATTTTGAAAATACTTCCTGAAGGAATTCCTCGAGAAGCGGAGAACGGTTCAGAAAAATATTGAGTACGTACCTCAACACTTTTTTTATATATATGAGTCTCTTTGAACGTTCTCTAAAACAATATGAGTACCAGGTTCTTGGCGCTTTTGCGCCACCGCCCTAATTGAGTAATTCGAAGGCAAACGTAAATATAGTGCAGAGGCCAGGCGGTAGGAATAAAATGCACTCACCACTGCTGTGTTGCATTGTGCTGAATGGAGACATACACTTACTTGAAGGATCAGGAGAAGGGCGGGCGCTTCTACATGTATCTGTGTTTGGAAGAAGCGACTGCTCCATATTTATGTTGGTGCTTTGCGGCGCGGCCGTTATGATAAGTATATCTACCGCCACGGCAGGAGCACGAACGCAACAATACCTTGCACGTTTGGCACCGCATAAAGTTGAGTGCAATCAACGACAAATATACTGAGTGTACCTTGCCTGTCAGTCCGTCGCCCCGACATGATTAGGGTAGATTTTCGGGTCATTGACGCTTCGGGCCGCTGCCAAACGAAGAGAATGACCAGTTGACTATCTTCATTGTTTTAAATTGGAATACTTGCGAGAGGAGATTTACGCCTTGCAAGTGTAAATGTAGGCGATGACATCGAGACGAGAAGAGAACAAAAGCAGCAGATTGTGCAGTCAAAGACAATTGAACGAGTGAGTCCGATACTGACGAAGACAGAGTAGAGAGGGGATGGTGGAAGACTGGTGGGAGGCGTAGTGCCCCTCCATCCATCATGTCGATAAAATGCGAGAGGAAGAGTATGCAGAGGGTGTGCGCGGCGCGGCGACTCTTGGAGGAGAAAGTCGAAGATACCTACAACAGCGTCCAGACGGGCAAATAAGTTTGAATGTTGTGGAAGACCGATGATGAACGAGTGACACGGTACTGCAGCGAGAGTATAGACGGCGTGGTGGGGGCAAAAGGAAGCGATGGGATGAAGAGGTGTGCCACGTCATCGATCGATCAAGTACGTGCCCAACGCGGGGTGTACGCATCATCAGTTTTGCCCAGCTTGCAGTGTGAATCGGATAGCTCGCGAAAAATCGGAACATTTATCGAGAAGAATGTTCCAGCAAAGAAACACCGCACTGTCAGCGGTCGAGAACGGGGTGGACGAGCGCTGCGAGAGCAGGAAAATCCCGGAAAAACACAAAAGGATGGAGCCATTTCAGATAAAAACCATTGGCATGAAGACCACAAGGCCTCCCTCCGGAGTGGGGTGAAGAGAGCACCGCGGCAAGGGGTGATGCAAAAACATGCACAAAAAGCAGAGGGAAGCAGCAGGACTGCATGGTCTGCATTGCCTGCGCGTCTGCTGAAACCGCCAGGTCATGGCTCGACTGCTGGAAACCTCATGTTTCTGCTTTCTGGTTGCAGCTGCTGCTGCTGTTCACACCCAATACTGGCATGTGTCCAACAGAGTATTTATGTGCCTCGCGAAGCGTGAGAGCCAAGGAAGTATCTAACCCACAATGAGCGCACAGCCAAGACCCGAGCAGTATAACAGCGGCAGCGGCAAGACGTGAAGTCGAAAAGAGCGCCGAGTAGTAGTAGAGAACCACAAGCTGTTTGTTAGAACGGAATGGAATGAGGCGCAGATAGATAGCGACAGCACCTGCACCAGAACGGCGTCCCACCAATCAGATTCAATGGAATACCCGGTTTACTCTGCGGTACTCTGCGGTTTAGGCGGCTAGACTATTTTTCGGGTGGAGAGGATGCGCGAGTGCGTTGGCGGGTGCCCACAAAAACGCGGAATACCGTCGATATTCTGTTCGAAAATAGCGCCTTCTCTACACTCCTCTGTGTTCTGTTCTTTGATTTGAACGCTTTCGACCGGATCTGTTTTTCAAACTGCTCTACCTCATCAACGCGTCCTTCGCTGTTCTACGTTCTACCGTGGTGGGAAGATTGTTACAGCTGCTGCAAAGAACATGAAAGACTCTCAAAGTCGACCAACTTCTGGAAACAGAAGAAGGAGCACCTCAAGAGGAAGGACACGCGGCACGCTCGAAAGGACAACGGGAAGGGGGGGGGGGGGGGGNCGGACAATTTGTTTGTCGAGAAGAACTCGGGCCTCACTGATGTAGAAGTGCGAAAGGCAATTAAGACGTGGCTTTCCGTAGAGGATGACCCCAGCGTGTTGGAAGACGAGGTAGCTCTGGAACTGGAGATTGTGGAGCAGAACATGGCAAACTTGGAGGTTGATGCCTCTTCTGACGGCGAAGATGGCGGGGATAGGCCAGCCTCGTGTATTACATCTTCGATCACAGAGGCTCAGGTCCGCGCTAGCTTGGAGAGTGTTCGCTCCTACTTGTACGCCAATGGAAAGGATGGCGAATACCGCGAAACCCAGCACCTCCTTTCGAAAACGGCGCATTCGTCCACGCATGAAACACAAGTCAAGGGCAGGTCCAAGGAGGGGGGGGAGCTGCAGGCAACTCTTCGCGATATGTGGAGGAAGTCGTAGCGTTGAGTGTTTGCGGTTTGTCGGCCATACGCCGTATTGTGTGCNGCCAATGGAAAGGATGGCGAATACCGCGAAACCCAGCACCTCCTTTCGAAAACGGCGCATTCGTCCACGCATGAAACACAAGTCAAGGGCAGGTCCAAGGAGGGGGGGGAGCTGCAGGCAACTCTTCGCGATATGTGGAGGAAGTCGTAGCGTTGAGTGTTTGCGGTTTGTCGGCCATACGCCGAATTGTGTGCATGTGTCTGCATGGCGCTCCAGTAGAGAGTAACGCAGGAGAGTTTCTGCGTGCGCTCCCCCTGTGTTGTAAACAAGAGTCACCAGGTGAATTTGAAGTGTCCATCAGGTATTTTCCGTGCTGTGTGGTGGTGTTCAGCAATAAACAATTATTTTCTCGCCGACTCCCAGCCTCTTTTTTTATTCCAACAATGCCCTGCCCAGGGCGCACCTTTTGACGTATGTACCGCCACCATTGACCCCGGGGATGGTGCGTTCTGATCCCCTGAAGTTTAAGGGAACTTCCCCCCCGCGTTAAGGAAACATTTTTCGAAGAAAAACCATATATTTCCTTAAAGCGGAGTCGACTGTAATGCGAAAAGGGTATACTCCAGATAGGGGTGCCAATCGGTCAAATTTCCTATAGGAAAAAATTTCGAAAAGTGCCCTGGATCTTCCAGATGGAAAATCGCTCGAGCCAATAAAATCACATCGAACGCTCCGAAGAACCCCGCCAGAACCAAAAAACACCTGACGCCCCGCGAGCGCGAAGCGTGTGTGAACGCGTTCCGCCGTGCCGTGGAGGTTGCACACGGCACCCTAGCGGCACCCTAGCGCCGTCCGCAACCTAGCAAACATGCCTGGTGGCTCACTCGAACAGCCGCCGGGCGGTGGGACCGCGCGGACTCCTCCTGCTGGAGGAAGCAGTGCTCCTCCTGCTGCTGGCGAAAAAAACAGCAGCAGCGAGGAAGCACCCATCATCTACGCCCACCGCCTCCGCCTTCGCCTTGTCTCGTTCAGCCTCTTGCTTCCTCCGCTCTGCCTCTTGCTGCGACCGCTCTGCCTCTGCTCTCTTAGCCTTCTCCTCCTTTAGCGCCTCGGTGCTCTCGCGCGCGAGCTCCTGAGCCATGCTGCACTCAGCGGTGCTTGCCGCCTCGCGCTGTTTACTTTCGACCAACTCATGCTCCTTTTCTGTCAGCGCTTTCTGTGCGGCGGCAACACCGCCCCTTTCGACCGCACGCCGTGTGTTTGACGCTGCGCAGGCGGCGTACACAGACTGCCCCGACGCCTGTTCGTACTTGGCTTGGTTTTTCCTGAGGTTCTTCGCGGCTCGCCTGCTGCCGCCACCAAAAACGCGCCTCTTTTTTTTTTGGTTACGGTTTTTTTGCTGCTGTGCTTCGCTGACAGGCGCTGCAGGAGACCCGCTTGGAAGACCATTTTCAGACATGCAGATCTCGCTGTTGACTTGAGCGATTCCAGTTCGGTCTTTTGTGTTGTGTGGTCTAACTCCCAAGGTGGTGCATTGCAAGCTCGCTTTCTCAAGAAAGTCAGAGGCGGCCTCGGGCATTGGCCATACAGCTGAAATTTGTAGGTTTTTCTGGGTTGTTCATCCGCCCTATAAACTTAAGCATAAACCGAGCTTGCAGTGTCCTCTATTGGACTTGTGTCCAGATGTGTGCAACGTATGAAGAGCCACGTCGCTGCCTGGACGCAGAGCTACTTATATAAAGTACGGAGGATAAAGTATACTTTGATCGGTATAATTCAAGAGCTGATTTGAGAACCAAAAAGTCCGCGTGCCCCCCTTTTTTTTCTCAAAATCCTCGAATAGACCGATCACTTTTTTGCTGCCAAAATCGCCCCGATTGGCACCCCTACCTGTAAGTAGGAGCACAGCGCGTAGGGAAACCATGCGCAACGAGTTAGTCCAGGGTATAGCTGCCCGTCACGATCGGTGGGCTTATTGCTTATTTCAAGGTCGCTGCTGCAGCTTTGGCCCCCTCTGCTGCTTCGACTGCCGCCTGTACCTTTGCTGATTCGACAGCCAGTGCGGCTGTTGCGGCGGTTCTTCGGGTTTGGAAAATGTCGCCGAAATCATGGACGAATGGCAGAGTCTAGGGTCTTGGGCTGCTGTTTCCCAGGTGATGAGCCGCAAGGTTAAGGACAAAATACTTCTACCCCGGTATAGACCAACCCCATACCTAATATGTGGGCCCAGGATTTCCTCTATGCCATGGTCAGAGGAGAGCGCTGCAACAAGGCACCCACCCGCCGGCCCGCCGGAAGGCGGTAAGGCGGTGGGTTTGGTTTTTCTCAACCGAAAACCATCCCGCCACCATCCGTGAGGCATTACTGTAGACAAACAAGCTCAAACGCTGCGGGTATGGTAGTCCGACATCCGGACATATACAAGAGGCCTGCGACTCACCAACAACGGGGGGAGAGGAAGGTTGGTAGAGGGAAGATCCCGACTGCTGCTCGTCCTCGATCTGCCGGAGATTACCAACCGGCGAATGAGAGGCGGCTGGTTTTGGGTGGTTTTGATGAGGGTTGCTCACGCGCTTGTGGAGCCACGAATGCCACACGAATCAAACGATGTGAGAGGAAATGTTCCCTAGTGCGGCGGACAAATTCTCCGGGTGCCTTGCTCTAGCAATGTTCGTTCTAGCCTAGGTTGCGGGGAAGGGCGGAGGCTCGGAAGAGGGCACCGAGAGCAGATGCCTCTCTTGGGTAGCGGCTGGAATGTCAATCTCGGCCAATCAGCGCCTCGCTCGTCGTGGACAGTCGCAAGAGGTGCGAAGTTGCCTAGTGCCTGAATTCGGTTGGCGCACGAGCGTGGTCGTTTCAAGATCGTTTCATACTTGTTTCCTTGCATACGTCCTTGTCAACTCATAGACCTGTGCCAACTGAACGAAACCTGGCGGGAACTGATCGGACGGACGTTCACATGGGGCTTATTCTTCGCCTTGAAAACCGGCTCTCTGCTCGGGCTCTCTCGTCCAAAACAAAACGCGTCCAGAATTCTTAGAACCGTGACCCAGAGACGAAGACAAGACCATACAAGCGCACGACAGGCAGGTAGGAGAGCACATCTAGAGGCCATCGTCCTTGTGAAAGGCCCAGAGGGATGCGAACATGATTCTCAAGCACGCGTAGTTCTTCGCCTTGAAACTGTGGCTCTCTCCATCCCATCTAGTCTATATGTTTTCTAAATCAGCAGACTACGGACTTTATTAGAACGTACTGAGCGGAGATCGGAACGGGTTTGTAATGTGAAGACACCAACAACAACAGCAACAACAGACTACTATCGACAACAACACGCGTCCACAAATTCGGACAACAGGCGCCCAGAGACGGAGAGACACAAACATACAATCACACCAAAGGCAGTTAGGATAGCACATCTAGTCTGGAGGCCATCGTCCTTGTGAAAGGCCCGGAGGGATGGGAAGATGCGACTATTTACTACAACTCAATGTACTTCTTCATGCAGGCTACATAGACTACAAGCTTTGGTTCGGGTGAGCCGTAGAGTCAGACTTGCACGTACGGTAGGCTATGTACAGCTGTAGAGTAAATGTGCCGATCAAGGACCACATAACGGAGCCCCCGCTCTAAGGGTCGTTCTCGTTCTCGGGTGTCTTGACGATTTGTGGCGACAGAGAGGTATCGAACGTTAGCTTATAACACGACCTAAACGATGAAACAACAAAAACAAAAAAAATGCATGTGGTGATGACATGGTGCCAGCGTAGTATTCTTCATTTGTCAGGGAAAAATACCGGTTAAACACAAGTGTCCCGATTAAGGACCACTTCGAATTCGTAGTGATTGCGCACGTTCTAATGATTTCCAGAACTTTTCCTTTGGCAAGTTTCGTCATGGTAGTAATACAAAGCATTTCCGGAAAAAATATTTAAAAAAAACATGCATGCCCGGGGACAACAACCAGAAATCCCCGGGTTTTTTGCCTGTTTTGGGGCCAAAAATGGCCTACTTTGGGCACAACGCAAAGAGATGTCAAGTGTTTTTTGCCCGTTTTTTGTTCGGCATCGTGGCAAGCACCCCTAGGATAGACACCATGCAAATTTTTGTTGTCATCCGGGTTGATTTAGTCTCTATCTGACATACAGACGCGATTTTTGCCCCCATTTGGACCAAAATCGAGGGGGCAAAATAGAAAAAAAAGGGAAAAACAGCGGATGAAAAAACAAAGTGCACGACCCAAGGTTCGAACCTGCCTCGTACTGGGTCTATGGAGAGCAACAAAACACTAGACCACATAGTGGCATACGCATTCATGGAAAACTGCCAGTACATAGGCCAATATTGTGACCTGGCTTAGCCGGAGCCACCACACAGCACCAAAAAAAAAAAGCATANGGGAAAAACAGCGGATGAAAAAACAAAGTGCACGACCCAAGGTTCGAACCTGCCTCGTACTGGGTCTATGGAGAGCAACAAAACACTAGACCACATAGTGGCATACGCATTCATGGAAAACTGCCAGTACATAGGCCAATATTGTGACCTGGCTTAGCCGGAGCCACCACACAGCACCAAAAAAAAAAAGCATACATCACCTGGCGCAGAATGCTGTGTAGAACGAAGTCCTCCACCAAATTGAGTAAACTTCGGCGTAAAAAAAAAAAAAGGTGAGGTCCATAGCAACACGAAGAAAAAAACAGAAAGGCTTTCCGCGATGGTATCGGCAAGACATGTTTTTTTGAAAAAAGTGGTCCCTAATAGGGGGGTGGTCCTTACTACCCACACTTACTCTAGTAGGCTACACGTCCTGCAGATATGTTATGCAACCTGTATATCTGTAGCAAGCTCGCTGCGTCTCCGTCCATCACCCGTTAAAAGATTATTTCTGTCATCATTGATGGTTGTCGCTGATGTTGATCCACGAACGACGGTACCAGTGTTGTTGTCTTTATATTCCTGTCGGATCATTTCACGGCAGTCGCACCCCAAAACACGGCGGGTAATCTGCTTCTAATCATGTCTAGAATCCTGTCATATCTATAGTCTGTCCTCTGGCACCACACGATGTGCATCCACTCACTGGCGTTGCCTAGGAAAAAAAACTGTTGAGCTAACTCTCGGGTTCGGACTTCATGCTGGGGTGCGCGGCAAACATGACGAGCGTATGTATCAAACGCGCATACGCCTTGCCAATTCTTTCTTCTATAGTAAATCGAAGAAAATAATAGCACTCAAGCCATACAGCAGTCACCCAATATTCGACACCGACCGCCATTTGGCGCCTATATAAATGAATGGACAAGAAAGCGCATGCCAAGTACGGTAACTAGCCGCGCGTTAACACTGCGGTAGCAAGAACAAGTCAGCCCCCTTCCGACAGAAATGAAAAAAACGCATGCACGAATGCACCGGGCGAATCAACATCCCCAAAGGAAGAGAGGAGCGACTTCACACGACAGCGCGCTGATACCGGCAAGGATGAAATCCCGCTCAACCTCCAGACCACGGCAATGTGCTACGATGTCAGAGTCCACAGCAGGGGCGTCATGGATACCATCCTCCACGTCGAGCTGAGGCTTTTCTCGACAGAAAACGGACTCTCGGCAACGTTTGCCCTCGCCAGCCAGCGCCTCGAAAGGAGAGCGACCCAGCCATAATTTGGGCACCACGCCCAACAGACGCAACTACATGGCACACTCACACCGGCATGTCCCCGAGACAGACCGGAAAACCTGGAGCGAGACGCGCTTGGCACGGCCACCTGATGAGAAACCCTCCTGCAACTGCTCTCGGTTCTTACGAGACAGAACTCGCTCGTGCGGGCAATATCCCAGCGTCTGTTGTTCCGCTCCAACTGAATGTACGAAATCATCCAATGTAGGCCGGCAGCTTGGTGCCCAGGCATGTCCCAAGTCGGTTTAATTGACGGCGCGTCAATGGCACCGACCACCATGGAGAATAACACCATCGGCCGGTGCATCGTCGCCTTTTGGCAATTAAAAGCCTCCCCGCAACAGCGGCGAAGTTGTTGCTGCCAAGGCTTCCAGGACGAATAGGCGTAAGAGAGCCATTCGTGGCTGTCGCTTGCTGGCTTAGGGACGACAGAGACGTCTTCTGTCAACGTTGGCTTCACTTAAGCCCGTAGGTCGAGTATTTCTGGTCTTGTTTCCGGATCTACATGGAGATGGAGTACGGAGACAAACCAGGAGAGGAGCGGGCGTGGAACAATATGAAACTATGGTAGCGTTGGTGGGTCGGGGCAGAAGCGGACAACAACAACAACAACAACAACAACAGCAACAACGCGACCGGCGAAACCTTCAGTACAATAAAGTCCTAGGACGCGTGAGTAAGAAGTAGCGTTCGTGATCAGTCAGCAGGCGGTGGGCAAATGCTCGGCGACCGGTATGCTCGAAGAACGGTCTGAACAACCTCACGAGTAAGAGGGGAAAAAAGGTGACACTAGTCCCTAAACACGACACGACGCGGTGTGGACATCAACACACAGCATCGAGTCCCGTCAATTCAGAAACAACCAACGTACCTTGAACAACCCGACGGGTATCCGTAGGCCGAAAACGCCTGCCAGCGTCCAAGCAACCCTCACGGGCAACAGCGGGGACCCCGCAGATCCGGTCGCGCTCAAGATGAGGGCGGCGTTCAGGAACGTGGAGAAGGCGATAGCATCGTACATGCTGGTTTGCGTCAGCTCCAAGCGCTCGAACGCTCGTTCTGACTCCAACACTCGTACCTGACCGGAAGCGTTGCACGTGATGCGCGAGTGGAACGGGTAGTCGGCAGGGATACGGCTTTGAAACGCGCCCCGTTTTCTCATCGGTACCCTTCATAGGAGCACGCTGGATGCTGCATTATTTGGTTGAGAGGCGGGATTCTAGGAAGGGCAGATCCAGATCTTTGGACGCAGGACAAGAACTTCGGGACAAGAGCAAAAGGCCCACCCGTCAGACGGTTTCTCAGGCATAAGTGCGATCACGATGATACCATCTATCAGCAGGTTGTCATCATATTTTTTCGCGCTGTAACACGTGGAAGGCGCGCAACAGTCGTTATGTTGTTGTAACACCTCATCCACTCGAAAGGCCACAAACGCTGATGTCAGCTGGTACGTACGTGGGCAAATTTCGCCAACTCGAAAGTCCAAGAGTGTATGCTGACGTTTGGGCAGCACTCGTGTGCAAGCCGGAAAAAGCCAACTGACCAAAGCTCCGCGCAATTAATTACACCAAAGTATTCCTTTCTTTGACTTCACGAGGCAAGGTCGACTTCTTTCCTCCAACCAACCACACGTTCTCGTACCCTCTATACACGGCAACCCCATACACAAAAATGAGACGGGAGTCCACGGGACAAGGAAACAGAGGGTCAGAAAAAAAAAAAAGCTAAAAGGGTCGTACCCGGAGCTTGAGATCCCCCTGCTCGAGTTTTCGTGTAATGTTCTCCACGTACGCGACGTTCCGCGGGCTTTTGACCACGGCTTCAAGGTCCTCGGGTCGCCATCCGACCTGAAACACGAGGACACGGGGTTTGGGAGGGGGGAGGCTATGGGAAGCCATCTGTCATGCTAGATTTGATATTCTCAAATGAGTTTAATGGTTTCGAATGCCAACGCCACGACGATAACGACCACAACAACAACAACAACAACAACAACGACAACAACAACAACAACAGCAGCAGCAGCAGCAGCAGCAGCAGCAGCAGCGGCAGCAGCGGCAGCAGCGGCAGCAACAACAAACAAAACGAGCTAGCACTATACCAGCAAGCAATCGAAGGGTCTTGAGCTTGAACACTGGATGTGCTTGCCAGGAAGGCTTCCCCGGGGGCGAATTATTTCTTGCAGGGGAAACATCGCCATCATTGAACCTCCCGCGCGTTCTCCGACAATTGACACCCGGAGAGTCACCTCGCTCGCAAGTGTGACGTGTGTCTGTTGGTTCCATCCGTTCTGGCGCCCGTCTACGCACCGCTTAGTGTATACGATCGGCGTATCAGCCGTGGCCACACAATTGTTTTCGAAAACGAATTTTCACTACATATCCTCGGAGATGGTGGTAACTCTGAACTGAAGTCGCGGTAGGCCTTTGCTCCATCGGCCATCTTGTTTGTATGACGGAGAATAACAAGGTGAAATTTACTCGAAATAAGTATGGAAATAAAGTTTATGTATCTAAATCGAAAATAAAACGGTCGATGGAGCAAAGGCCTAAGTCGCGGAAATTGCGGCGAAACAAACATTCCGACATCGCACGACCTCGGCCGACGATGAGTCCATCGGTGTCATCGCCAAAACATCCTTGGGGGTGAAATCGAGAAGAACAACACGACCCTGCCCGCCCCTCACCGCGCAGTGTCGTCAACACCTGGCCCATGTAGACAGTATACATCGTTGGCACACAAGTACGGGGAGGCGTAGTTCGCGGCACCAACGTCTCCTAATTCGTTGCGTGCCTACCGAGCCTTTCAAAGCCGGAATCGAACCAACAGACTTGTCAGCGCCGACTAGTCAAACGGGTCGATTTCGGCTCAAATACAGTTGTTGAGTCGTGGTCGATTGATTTCGACTGACTGCTTCAGCGCTGACAGCAAGAGAAATGGCCTCCAAAAGCCGGCTTATCACCCACGCACCTTCTTGACGAACGTCTTTGCGAACGACAACGCAAACGACCCATCCCTCACGTCCAAGAGCTCCTTCAGGTACGGCTGGGCTAGTCGGGTCAGATCGTACCTGCAAAAAAACAAAAAATAACAAAACGGGGTGCAAATCAGCAATTGACTGATGAACAAAGGACCAGAGAACACACGGACGCAAAAAACACAAGACTTAACCAGAAACGCGCATCGACCAACCACCACCTCGACGGCGCGGAATCTCCCGACATGACGGGTGCAATACACGATGTCGCGGAAGAACCACAAATCCTTGACAACGCCTGGACTATACCCAGCAGGGAGAGCAAAAGGGGCGTCTTGCTTCCAGGCGTTCCCAAGGAGGGAGACCAAAAAGGGGCGTTAAGCCTGTTGGTGCCTGTTGCTTCCGGCTTACTTTGTATCCAAACCCTTGCCGATTCCGTCCAGGGAGGTGAATGCTCGGAAGACGAAGGTGAAGGTCGGCGGGAACTTGAACGGCACGTCTCCCGACACGGACAGAAGATCTTCGCCAAGTTTGGCCCGACGCTCCTTGCGCAACCTCGTCTTGTCCTCCTGGGAGCGGTAGGCGGCGAGACAAGGGCACCAACAAAACATGTCACGAGAGAGGGGTGCAACACGACCGTGTACTAAATCGGTTGACCGAAACAAAAGGGTGCAATATTTGTGTTTGGGCGAAAAACACAAATTGTCGTCAAGAACGCACAATGTAGATTTGGCGAAGACAAAGTGCCCTGTAGGTTGTGCGGAAAGAGGAACATATATGCATGGGTTGGGGCCAAGAAAAGGGGAAGGTGGAAATGGAAGCCGGCAAGACCTTTACCAACATGTCCAGTAGCAAAGGGTAGAGCAGTACAGCAGCACCGTGTTTTAACTCCGGACGTAGAATGGGGTCCGCAATCGAACCTAAATCATGCAGGCGTCTCTGCTTGTAGTTTGTTTAAGTTTGCCTACAGGTGGTCACGGTCTTCCCCTCCCTACCGCGAAAACGCGAGAGCATCGGAGAAAGGAACACTTTGCGAGGTGACAGGAACTTCTCCAGCCTACACGATACCGCGCACCAGCGGACAGTAGCCGAAATCAGACGCACAACCCCGTCGGTCTTGCGAAGGTTGAGATTGACGGCAAGCACGGTATCTCCGACTGGTACCGAGTTGCGGTTAGCCGCCGCAGGAACGAGTGCTACAGCGACCCAGTGTTTGTACGCGTCACAGAACACGACAAAGTGCATAGTTTCCCAGTACTTGAAGCGTGCATTTCTCAACTTCCGTTGTTTTCCAAATTTCCAAATTCCGACTTTGGAGATCACCATTTTTTTCGGTGCCGGTAGTCTTGAACTTCAAAATTGCCGCTTTTTTTCCTCGGCCACAGATCGAGGTCCTATGGTCTACGGATTTGGAAATTTGGAAATCCGGAAGCGAAACAGCACTTGCTTAAAACGGCCATGCAAGGGTAGCGCTTTCTGTACCTTGGTGAGCTCCGAAGTCCACTTTCCGTCCTGCCCCTGGTTTAGAGTGTTTGTGAACTCCCCTAGGAACGACCTCGCGATCTTCTCCACGCTGAGCACGGGTAAGGGCATGGCCACAAAACGACAGCATCAAAAACAACGTATTCGGTGGATCAAGGACACAGCTCATTGACTCCAAAACAAAAAAAAAACAATGGTTGGTTCTAACATCGTCCGTGTCCAACGCCAAACGTTACATGCTGATTACAAAAGTCACAGGCCGTCCAAATGAGAGGCACACACAAAACACCACCGAAACAAAAACGAAAACGGACTGTAAGCTCTGAGCAGCAAAGGTACACAAAAATTACGTACGGTGCGGTACGCCGCCGAGACTCCGTCCCCCAATATAAAAAGGAGACCAAATGTCCACCTTATCCTGTCATCGCCAAAAAGCCAAGCGTACGTGCACCTCCTGCGGCGGCCACCAGCGTTCACCTTAGAGGGGATCGTTCCCGAAACGGCAACCAAGCCAGAGCCCACACATACCTTATTCTGTCCGACCCGGCCTTGAGTATTCCCATTTCCACCAAGGCATCGCAGACGGCTCGCGGGTCGTTCTCGTAAGTGGAGAAGATGAGGTTGACCAGGCCCGACCTCACGTTGGGCTTGAACTCATCCATCATCCCGAAGTCGTAGAAGATCAGACGGCCCCCGTCCTGCTCGTCGCAAGCGACGTTTCCTGGAAAGGTATGGGGTTAAGACGTTTAGATGCTGCTGTTGCTGTGCTGCTGCTGGTGCTGCTGCAACTGCTGCTGCTGGTGCTTGTGCTGGTGCTGCTGATGGTGCTGCTGCTGGTAAAATTCTAGCGTGAGGGAAAGCACTGGATCACAGAAAGCAGACTGCTGTGTTTGTGACCGTGTCTGGGCTTGACCCTGAAGTAGCAAAGTGATCGCAACCACGACAACAACGGCAACGACAACAGCAACGGACGGTTCGGTCAACGCGAAAAAACATTATCTTGTGCACCGTGTCTTGGTAACGGATGGCAAGATAGACAAGCCATGCTCAAATCGAATCGTACCAAACAACCACGCAAGCCAAAAAAAAAGCCAAAAAAAGACACCTGGATGGGGGTCGCAGTGGAAGAATCCGTGACGGCACAGCTGCGTCAGATACGCCTCCGCCGAGCGTTTCGCCAGCAGCTTGCGGTCGATGCCCCTCCGGTCGATCTCTTCGAGGTTGTTAATCTTCACGCCCGGCACGAACTCCATCGTCACCACGCGCTCTGACGTCATGTTCCAGTACACGTCCGGCACCTGAAGGCGTTCGTGGTGGTACAGCAGCAGTCCCTTCGTTTCCCTTGTTTTGGTGACCGTGACTGGTGTGTTCTTGATCCACTCCTTGTTGTTTGTTGTAGGTGTTGCTATTTGTTGTTGTCAAGACCCACCCGCTAACGGAGGAAAATTACTGCTATATACAAAACCAAAAGTCGTAGTGCGACCTTCCTCCTGCGTGACCCAGGTTGGTACACACGTGCTGAGCGACCTTCCTCCTTTGTACTACCATGTGTACAGACTGGCGCCAAGGGAGACCGGATTACCAACCGCATTCAGACATGCCAACAAGGAACAAGGTTCAGCCTGGCTCACCTTGACCCAGGGAGTGTCCTGGAAGTTTTCTTTGAAGCGAACGGCGTTTTCCGCCTCGTTGATGTAGTCGATCTCCTTGTACAGCAGTTTGGCGCTCTCTTCGTAGATCGACACCCAGTCTCTGATTGACAACAAATACAAAGTGGAAGAATGAGCGAAAAAAAAGAACCAGGGGGGGGGGAGTACACTATTAGTTGAAGAGGCGAACAGGTCCTGAAAAAAAGCAACACGCAACGGCACCTGAATAATCAGCATCTTTCTTCGTTCAACCCCAAGCTCCAAAATGGCGATTAGCAACAAAAAAAATCTTATGGATATCAGCTTTGGGCACCGAGATAAATCCTCAGGCAACACCTGATGCCCAAGCTTGGCCAAACGGGACGTCTGTTCAAAAACAGAGTTGGTAGGAGGAGTTGGCTTCCCACCCACTGGTGGTACGCACCTATAGCTATTACAGTCACCCCGCAACGAACAGACAGCACCACCACTTTCGTAAAAGTGTTGGCAGGGAGCAGTCACGAATGCAAGCTTTCAACCTTGTCGGGACAGAAGGAGTCGATCCCCCCCCCCCAACGCTGAAAGCTACCATCAATGTTTGATGAGGTAGGGGTCGTCGGGATATTATACTCACCTTTGTATCCGAGAGGTCCCTTATAATGTCAAAGAGAGTGGTAGCATACCACAGAAGAAGGAAGACACCTCGAAGCCTCTGGCAATAAACCAGAGGCTCGTTGGCGGTGGCGGCATTAAACAAACAAAAAAAGGGTTCACTGACCTGTCCGCTCCGTCGAACTTGGGATCCAGCTTGTCCAAGACCTTCACCAGCAGCTTCAGGTTCTACGTGTTTGTCGCCGAAAACAGTGAAGGAGGCAATGCTGGTTGGTATCGGTGGGGTTACTCCTTCCATGATAAGCAAACTTGCGGGACCCCCATCGACAAAAATCGAAATTCCCAAAGCCTCGCCGTGTGTGTATGGCCGTTGCAGCGAAATGTGTGACGCCCAACAGAAATCTTTGCTTGATTGCCGCTTCAAGACCGATTGACAAATATGTCTTCGCCGACATGCGAGCTCCATGTTGTTGTTGTTGTTGTTGTTGTTGTTGTTTCTCACATTAGCTCTAAAAAAGAAGCCCGTGGTCTCAAAACCCGGCATACACGACCCCACGAAGAAACAGAAAAAAATAGGGTACAAAAACCACTCGGAAGAGAAACAAAATGATAGAAAGAAAGACCAGCTACCGCACCAAACGAGAAAGAGCGTCGAGGAGACCGATCAAAATAAAATAAAAGGAGAACGGGGAACGCTTCCCACACCCGCCTACAACGCCGGAGGGTTCCGTGCCGGGTTCCCGCCGACCAGGCATCCCCCGCCCTGCACCACACCCCAGGGGGTGCAGCAAGACGGGGGGCGAAAAACAAACACATATATATTCCCACAAAAAAAAATAAAAAATCGAAGGACAACGTACACCAGTACCAGGTACTACAGCAGTGCAGTATGCACCAGCGCATTAGTGTAGGGTAGGCACCGCACCAAAGAGGCAGCAGAGGTGGCAGGCAGCCAGCAAAGGAAAAAACAAAAATAACAAGGAGCTCGAGGTATCGTCCAAGATCATCGTAGAGAGGGCATGGAGAACAAGAAAGAAAGAAAGAAAGAAAAGCACAAAGAGAGGCCGGAGGCAATACTAAGAGCATACAGCTTACGGCAGGGAAAAGGGAACACAGGGTGCGACGACATCATCAGTTGGGTACGTCGTTCGCCGCAAGTGCGGCCTTGGCCGCCCTACTCGCTTCTACAGCATGTGTGTTGCGCTGTTAACCTTCGGAGTTCTTGCTGCTGTCGTTCACCTTGAGATCTTGGTCAAAGAGATCCTTTAGCCCTGCTCGCTGCACCTTCACCGCCACCTGCTCCCCCCCCTTGATCTTGGCCAAGTGCACCTGTTGAGCGGGAAACGAACCATGAGGACTCTGGGTTCAACAGGACATTGAACAAACAACGACAACAACAGTAAAATCAAGGACACTAACAATGAGGTCTGCAACACGAACTCACCGACGCAGCATCGGCAAGAAACGACAACAGTGTAACACATGGACAACTTGACACCACGATGACGACGACAACAACCAGAACAGCAACAGCAGCAACAACAGCAACAACAACGACAGTAACATTAACGACAACACACCTGGCCGAGAGATGCAGCAGCGAGAGGAACCTCGCTGACAGTCTCGTACAACTCCTCCAGCGGTTGTCCCAGATCCTCCTCGATTATTCTCTTGGCCGACTCAAATGGAAACCCGGGGACGTTGTCCTGAAGCATCACCAGCTCCTTGATGTACTCTTTGGGGACCACGTCGATCCTGCAGAACATGTGATGGGCTATTTGGTTCTGGTCGGTTGGAATCACCGAAAAATCTTGGAAGCAGGTTCAAAACCGGCAACAAGCCGTTTTCATTGTTTTTCCTGTCCGTGTGCAGTAGCGGGTGTTGTCAGTGTGTTCACTCGCTTGGCGGGGAAGGCGCCAGACACACCTCAAAACTCTTCACGGGTGCTCAATGAGCGCACACCTTCCCTAGGTGGCAGAGAGCTTCACGGACGTTCACGGCCAGCCTGAGATCACAACAAAAAGACCACACGCAAGCCCCTCTAGGAGAGGCCTTGCCGCGAGGAATGGTTTCCCACAACTTGGGGGTAGAATTACCAAATGAAACGCCGTCACGTGCGGCGGGACCAATAACCGTACTTCAAGTCTCCCCCTTTGTCCGTGTGCTTGGCACCCACTTGGCAAAGGCGGCACGGGCTATGCAACGATCTATCCGATCGCTAGCCCCCTAACACGCCCCGGGTGAACAGTGTTGAGCCACCCTGGCAAAGTAGGGAGGAACGATTGGCCATCGGTTATCGTCCTGTGGGAACAAGGCCCCTTCCTCTCGAGGACGCGTGGTCAATGACCTAACCGTTAAGGCGCGCAAACCCCCCGCCCCCTCATGCTATTTGGTCGGTCCACCATGCGCGCGCGTCGCCGTCGGGGAAAGTTCCTCGAATGCAGACATTACCCCCCGCTAACGCACCTCGTAGATAGGAGCTGGCCGAGCTTGATGAAGGTGGGTCCCAGCCTCAATAGCCCGTCCTTGAGCTGCACCGCGATGGCAGCCCTCTTCTGGCTCTTCTCGGCCGCATCCTCCACCTGGTGGCCAAAACACAACAACAGAAGAAAATACACGCACAGAGAATATGTCTCTGAGAAAGGTGTTCGACAGAGATTCGTTTTGACATTCGGATTCAACACGTTTCACACTTTTGGTCCTGTTCCAGGGACCTTGGTTTTATCCGCTGGTACCAACGTCTAATGATTCGTCTGCCGGCTAGGGTGGTTGACACTAATTCCAAATGCATACACTATCGTCTATTATTTGGGGAATAGTTCGTTGATAGGCTCTGCGATGACCCCCTCACGGGGTACCAGATCATGTATTTCGGAAGCGTTCCCGGATATACCGTAAACGCATTGAGACTGGCGCCTTGTGGGTCGTCGGTCAGTTAGCGCAGTCGATGCTATCACTAACAACACCCACACACACAGATCCACACAGGAAGAAAAAAAGCTTGTCTGTTCCCTCCGCCAAAAAAAACGCTAACATAAACGATCACCGTGAGCAGTAACACCGACGCTTTTGATAAAACACCTCAAGCAGACAGGAACGAACGCGCCTAAAGCAGAATAAAAGTGTTCGGAAATGCTTCACTAATCTCGGCCGACGGCGCGAGAAACGAAACCCCAAGAAACGGGACACGGGAATACCGTTACCGCAAGTTTGCGGGTTTCCGCTCGGGGATCGGAAAAACGAGATATCGCACGTTCCTGGCAGAGACGTGCGAAAGCAAATAAAAAATGGCATGCCAAGAAGCGTTGAACAAGAATCACACCCCGTGCACGATAGCTCGTGATCTGTACGGCAGTAGCCCTTGGCTTCTACGACGCATTTAATGCGTTAAATCAGCGCTCACAGCCTGTCTGCCGGGTATCTAGGAGCCCCAACCCGTGGTCACATATAAGGTTTCCTCCCCCTCATCTGCGTGTGTGTCTTCAATATAAGCATCGACCGCGCTAACCGGCTGACTAATCAAAGGACGCCAGTCTCAGTGCAGGTGTGTGTGTTCGCCCCGGCTGTTCTGGCGCCAGTGTACAACTTTTCGGCGTATATATCTGACGTATCAGCAGTAGCAACATGGCGTTGTGCTCAACTCGGTGAGTGTTCGTCCGTCACCTTGCGAAGCTTGATCTCCTTGAAGAGGATCTTTGCTCCGAAGACCCAGACCTCCACCGACCGGCTGATGGCGGACCCGTAGCCTCGCTTGTTCCAAGAGGACTCCATGTTGCTGCAAAATCGAAGGGAGCGAAGGGACTCTTAATAGTTCACGTGTCCGCTTTTGGCTGCGAAAGCGCAGACTTTGTACCTGCCTGCTGCACGCGCAGATGAGCATATCCCTATTGGAGCTCTGACACACACTGAATCTCCGACTTTATCTATTCTACCGTGGACAACACACCTCCTGGACCGATTTTCAAAGCTCCCTTTATTCAACGGCAGAAAGAGTCGAGGCACCGATCGTCTGGTCGAGAGCTCTCCGAAAACGTATTGTTTCGTTTATGCATGCTCTTCGTCGTGGAGTAATGAGCTTTGAAAATCGGTTCGGGGGGGGGTGTCATCTTGTGTGGAAGGTGGACGTATAAGGCGAACAATTATGTCTGCATGCGGAGAAGCAAAATCACCACATAGAATAAATGAAAAACACACCCAACGACTGTTCCAATCCGTTAAGGATTGGTTTCAGCTACGGAAAAAAAAATACCACTAGCTGTGCATCAATAGAAAAGCCTTTGGGGAGTACATATTCTTGAGGTATGGAGAGTACATAGATCAAATCTGGAAAGAAACGTCTGTGTAGGGAAAATCCTCGATGGATTCATTGTGTGATTGCATACGTAGGTATTTACCTGTCTGATCTTGGCCACGATGAACAGCAGTGATGCAGTCAACACGTGCGTTCGTCTTAGTTTCTGCAACGGTCTGAAATTTACGGGACTGCATGTAAAGCAAGAGTCTCCTCGAAGGAAGGATATGGTATCGCACTGCGTACAGGACACATCGACTGAAGTACCATACATGCATTTCTTCAGTAATAATACTGCTGTATTTTGTTTATTGTCAAGGCCAAGCAAGTTGAAAAGGGAGTGGTACGCGAGGGGGGCATCAAGACCAACTGACGGCATCATGTCTCATTCCGGCCGTTTATTGCTGCTGTACAAGGCCCAGGCGAGTTCGAAAGTTACAGCAGTAGTCTATATTTAGTAGCATAGTAGGTTGAGTTGCATCGTGCTGCCAACTCCCCTGTAGTCTACACATGGGTCGAAGTTCTAGATATCCAGCCTTTTTTTACATAATTCGAAGTGTATACCCCGTACTTAAGCAAAGCGACAAAAGCTCGTACCCCGCTATTCCTCGCTATGAAACACAGGCATAGACGGTCACAACCCAGCAACCCTGCAAACGCACCTCAGGTCGCCGCTGCTGTTCACAACGGCAGAGCTCGCAGCCGCCTGCCCCGCTGCCTCGGACAGCTCGTAGTCCCGCTGCATTCCGGTTGCCTTGGCCATCATGCGCTTCGCCAGAGCCTGCGTGAACGCCCGCTTGCCGATCTCCCCCTGCGAGAGAGCGTTGAACAGCTCGCGCGTTTTGACACCCCCCGCCAGCCAGGCGTCCTGCTGCTGCGGCTGAGCTCCTGCTACCTTCATGGAGGGGGAGGGGCGGCGGGATCGAGCCTGGCGCCTTGAGATGGTAGCGGAGGAAGGACAGCCGAACGCTGACGCTGTCGAAGCAATCATCGCTGGCGAAAATGCGTCGGCACTAGGCACGTGGTTGGCCCAAGCAGCCACGGCAACCGCCACGGCAGTGGTGCCAGACAGTGCACGTCCCATCCTGTGGGCAATAGACAGTGGGGTGCGTCGGCTGCTTGAGCTGGTTGTGATGTGATGAACAAATCAGGCGCGTCGACAATGTACAGCCGTCGAATGGTGGGCTTCTTCACGCTGAGTGTGCCTACACTCAATCCACGCTTCGGATTGTCGATAACCCCTGGCAGTTAGTTGCAGACGAGCTCTCGTGTGTGCCTGCGCTACTTCTGCATCTTTCCCTCTCTCGGCCCGCTTGCCTGAACACGCTCAGCGCTTGCGGATGACGTTGGCTGACGTCATGAATGAGGGGGGGGTACATTCGGGGGCTCATCGGGGTTTCACAAAAAACGAACGAGCGTGTTTGTCGGTTCGGCAAAATTGCGGCGAAACAAACATTCCGACATCGCACGACCTCGGCCGAAGAGAAACAAGACATTTTCACGGTGCGATACGGTAACCAAACTGGACCAACATTTGAAGATATTATATATAAGGAGGGTAATGAATATGGTGGTATGTACCCAAAGATGGTGTTAGATACGAGTGGTGATCAGATAGACAACCCCGTTCGCATCACCCAAGAACAGTGTGGGGACTCCGCACATTTTCTGGATATGCAAATAGGGCAAGACATTCCTGGTAAGACTAGTATTGGCATGTATAATAAGCGCCAACATATGGCTACGTTGAAGCAGTATCGGGCATTCCCACATTGGGAAACAGTGTTATCTACTAGATGTAAAATGTCGACGTTGCATTGTCAAATGTGCCGATTCGCTATTAGATGTACTGATATTCGATTTTTCCAGGCTGCCACAGCTAGATTGATAGCTGACATGCTTGCACGTTTCTATTCTAGTCGACTTATCCGTAATACTTTACATAATTTCAAGTATACCTTTTTTCGCACCTCGCCAGTGACTGCAAACATCGTGGGTGTAAATGCGCCTATGGTGCGGAATTCATACTGGGAGAAAGTGAAGTTGGGTATTTGGAGTCGAATCGATGCTAAGGACTTTGTGGTGAGTTAATCTGCTTGGCATTACGTTTTACTTTAGTCACTGGTAAATGTCCCGTTTCCTTGTGGAGCTGGAGTAATGTTGTTGTGTTATGTCCATATATCGTGATGTCTATGTAAAATAAAAATAAGAACGCTTGGTGTGTATTAACGACATAAAAATCCCTTTCGATTTACTCTTTAACGTTAACGAAACTCTGTACACACGTAATTTAGTAAGCCTGATGGCTTATAGCGATGCGAAAATTTGTGGGTAACCACAATTTTGACCGTCGAAACCGCAAGGGGGAACACTGAAAATCAAACGTGTCCCTTGCAAGTAGGACAATTCATCAACTTCCGTACACCTCTCAAAAATTCCCCTGTACCCAGGTGACAACGGAAAAATTGGGAATCAAATTCTGCTGAACCAGAAATCTGCACTTCAAAGAGCCAGCCAGCAACATCTGCTGAGAGGAGCACGCATGCATGCAGTCATTCCGGTTTTAGCTCAGCCACCCACCTCTCTTGGTTTTCGGAGCTAGCCGGCATTTCGGATCCAGCCGTTGTGCGATACTAATCATCTCCGCTAGGACTTGAGGAGGACGGACTGTAAAGCTGTAGAGTACACTGCATCGTATCTGCTCCTTGCTGCTGCTCTCGGCTGACCCAGGACTCCAAAAAATCCCCACAGGTACGAACAAACTCTTTATGTGTGGTCGGTCGAAGATGTACTGGTCTCTGTACAAGCCAACAAGCCACCATGCACAACACACTACTACTGCTGCCCTTCACCTGTCGCCGTCCTTCCACGTCTACCTGTCCTTGGCACATGCTGCCACTCGATGCGACAACATCAGGGAACATCACGGACACAGGGAGTACTTTCCGTACCCACGTACACCGTCAAAATGTCAGAACAACTAAATCTCATTCCTCCTGTCGTGCCAAACATAAATGATGTATTATGCACGAAATGATCAACTCTTCTTTACATATGGTCTGTGCTGCCCACTGAGGGGAGAGATATAACCATACTCCCTGCCTACACACGGACGAGAGAGATGACCAACCCATTACATTTGAACACACGAACACCCACATATCGGTGATGGAACCTCAACCACACGCCTTACCTACGACCGACCACGTCAGGAGGCAATGATGAAAGAATGTTCTCCCGTGCCCTTCGCACATTTATGGGCATGAAATTACACAAAACTGGGAGACCACTCCCGTGTGCCGCACAATTTGACACAGATGCATGCATATGCATACCAAACTCAATTACTTACCAAATCATATTCCTCGCGTTAAATGCATACCAAACTGGAAATACACGTGTAAAATGGATGGAGATCCACAACCAACAGGGTGCCACACATAAAACACCCAACTAACTAACAGCCCAACACTTTTCGTCTACACCTTCCCAACATAACATATATAAGACACACAACACAGCTACCAAACTGTCTTGTTGAGCCTGTTATCCGCAGGGGAGATGTCCATATATGCTGTCTGGGAAATCGTGGACACACAACAGGTAGTTTTCTTTGACGCTATGATTCCATTGCTAATCTGTCTTTGACTCTTTTCTCTGACGGAAATGGACTCGTTGTGTTGTATTTGGAAAAAAAAAAAAAAAAAAAAAAAAAAGGACTGGATCTAGACGGGGGCGTCCGTCTCTAGCGAAAAATGATACTCCTGTACTCGGAAGAACCCCAGCAAAACATTAAATGTAGATGTTTTTTAGTATATCAGGAGACCGAACGGTTAAAGCAACAACAGCCAACACTCGTGTGATGCTACCAAAGCTATCCACGCGGTGCTACCTGCTCGCCGCCGCTGTTGGGACAAGAAGATGAGGAGGTAGGCTCCATAGGGCAGCCCCGTCCACAGGAGAAGCACAAGGCAAGCGGTGCCTGTGGGACCGCTCGCGGGAAGATGCCGTCAAAGCACGACATGCTCCCCAGCCACCTACCAAGTCCAGCGAGACGAGCTCCTACGAAAGAGTTTGATTACCAAGATCTTGTCGGTACGTCTTTGGCCCGGCAAACCACCGGGAGAGCTGTTGTTCGGTTCAGTGATTCTACTCTTCGTTACTCGTCAAAGGAGTGGTCTGCTGCGGTGTTGAGCTTTCTCCTGCGTTGATGCAATGTACACGTATGTAGACATGTATCCCAACCTGAACGTACCTGCGTTGTTCGCGGTTTGTCCATGGATATGTCCCGGGGCGCAGCGGACCCAAATTTTCACGCGGTGGTCGACGAGCACAGGAGGAATGGCTACTTCGTTGGCCTGGCCGAAGGCACGCCAGGTAAGTGTGTCGCAGGGGTAGCAGCGGTATTTCGTTTGTACTGGATGATGGGTATCATCGTTGGATTCGCCCATGACTGCACAAGTCTGGAGACTGCAGAACAAAGAAACAGCAGTAGTCTGCTGCTGTAGTCGAAGGCACAATGCCTTGGACGCTTAGTGTAGTCTAGATCGTTCTCAGCAGCAGCAGTAGCACTTTCAGCAGCGCTTCGGCTTCGAGTCTCACCACCTATCCCTTCTCCGATTCGGCAGGGCACGTGCTCCCGGGTGTAACTCCCGAGTGGTGACAATAGTGTCGCTATCGCGGACGCATGCGCTTCTGTATGATTAAGATACTGAAGGATGATGGATAGTCTGCTTGTGCATACTGGAGTACGTACGTAGCTACTGCGGGTGGACAACTGCTGTACATCAGTGTAGACTCGGAGAACAGAAACGTCAATTTCGAGTCGAGTCTCAGTTCGTGTCTCGTCACCAACGTCGTGTGCATTGGGTTTCGTGTTGGCTTTTTAGCAGAGCTGTTTTTCTTCGCCGATTTTTTATTGTCATGAAGATATTCGCCTTGAATCTGTTTCTTGGTGAGCTGCTGACCCACACTGTACATCGTACGTGCCGTGATAAAACCCTGTCGTGATTGCAGCTGCAACACTTGTTCCACCTTGTTGGAGATGCACGTTCCGCCGTGCGAGGTTTCTCGAAGCATCAGCACAAGAAGAGTGTGGTGGTATCGAAATATGTCGGGGTCCAACAGACAGCGTATGATTGACCATATTTGCTGTGGTCTAAATAGATGCACAAATATGGTGGTGTTCTATGGTTCAAATACACTTCGTGTCTTATGAAATCAACCTTGCCGATGAGCGGTCGACAACACCCTCTTCTTTCGACTTGCTGTGCAGAATACAACGCGAGGTTAAATGAAGTTGCCGTGGCATTCGCGGGCGTGGTGAACGAGAAGAGGGTGACTCTCTTCAGGAACAGAGGTATGGCGTCTATTCCTCATCGGGTGACTACAGTTAGTGCCCGCTCAAGAACAATTTAGCATGGCCCAGGCTGGGGTTCTTTGTGAAGGTCGGGGCTACAAATAGCCGCAATACTGCAAGCCTTAGTGTAGAGATTCCTACCCGGGCTCAAAAATGGCGCTCAAGTTGTAACCGTCCCATACTGAGACTGCATAATCGTTTGTATGCTTCACAAAAAATAATTCACGGTCGCTCGACGGTTGTGGGCACGAGAGAAGTCTTGGAATAGAGTTGGGCTTGCTAGAGCGTCGACCATGCGAACCCGTTTGACGATCTTAATTCCAGGTATCTTGAACGGGAGGAAAGGTGACTTCCGAGAAGCTATCAGCTGCTACAACCGTGGACTTGAGCTTTCGACAAACAGCCCGTCCAAGCACGTGACTCTCGCAAACCGATCGGCAGCCTACATCAAGAGGCAACAGTTCGCGGAGGCGCTGAGGGACGCGCAGGAAGCCGCTGTCCTATGTGCCGACTATCCCATGTGCGTGTTAACCCCGCGTGCGGCAAGGCAACCGCGCCACCTCTCGAGATCGTTTTAGTCTTGCCCTTTCCTTCATACGGGCGCAGTGGTGGTGATACCCAGAAAAGCGTCATGGACGATCCTCTTGGCCGGTGGCGGACTTGGGTGTTATTGAATTAGGAAATATTTTTTGGCCATCCTGGTGGGGAGGATACTATCCACACTTGCCTCCTTTGGTCATGGTCATTCTCTCCCGACATGTAGTCGATAAGCACTTGGTGACTTTTGTTGAGTGGGATCTATTCAAAGATTGTTGGGCGGCGTTTTCATGGCGATGATATGCACTTTTTTGCATCATTGTGTATTTTTCCTTCGTTTTACTCTCTCTCCACCATCGTATTGATCCACGAAATGGGGAGAGTTGTCTTCAAAATCTTCGGATCTTCACGTATTTGGTCCTTTTCTTTGCCTGTGGCCTCGAGCTTGGCGCGATGACTTGGCCTACCTAAAGAAATGGGGGAAACTCCCGGTTGTCCATGTGCTAAGCGAAGAGGTGCAAAAAGTAACGATAGGTTGAGACACAAAGACGGCCTACACTCAACGTTTAAAGGCACCCTGTCTGGACCTGATGTGGAGGATATTGACGTAACTACTCGCTTTCAAAAAATACAAAAAACTTGCTTGATGTTGCTTCAACCAGGACCGCACGTATCTCGACGGAACTTGATTTGTTTCGCCGTGCCTGTCCTTGTTGCACACAGCGCGCACTCCTTGATGGGGTACTGCCATTCGCGGCTCGGATTGGACAAGAAAGCTGTGGTCAATTACCACATGGCTCTGGAGCTCAACCCGAAGGACGTGTCCAGCCAGGGCTTGCTCGCAGAGGCCAAGAAGAGTCTCCTTGCCGCAGGGGAGACTCCGGAAGCTGTCGATGCCCTCGAGGTAAACCAAATTCCAGCGATGACGAAAACCCTGCCCGCCATGAGTGCTATCGAAGAAATAGGACAGCGTAAAACGAGTAGGATTCCAGGTCATACAATGGAACTCGTCTATTATAATAGGGCATGCACGCCGTCATCGTTGTGGTCGTAGAACCAGCACGGAAAATACCTACGGGAAAGCCGTACGCATTGAGACGTGCGCGTTCACGATGTAGTCAGTGATGATGAACGAAATCGGTTCCCCTGTCATCGTGTCCTTGCACCAGGAACAACCGCCTAATATGAGTTAGCTCCACATGTGCATATCCTATTTCACCCCAACATATATGGTCACGGCTGATACGTCCAGCAACCATCCAGAAAGGCGATCAGACTGACGTCGAATGTGATTGGGACAAGACACGCATGGAAGTGACTAAGACGCAGCCCCTTTTCGTGACTTTCTTTGCAAACGCTGCACGTTATATGCAAATTATTGGCCGCCCGCTGAACGGACACAATGTGCACCGATTAATCCGTCGTGCTGATCTCTGTAAACAACCGACATCAAATACACAAGGCTCCTTTCGTTTCCAAGAGTGCCCGGAACCGAGAGGAGGCAGAGATTGAGGCAGTCGTGGCGGCGGCACTGGAGATGCCGGTGAAGCACCGGCGGTACCTCGACAACACAGGGCGAGCCGCTAGCATCGAGGCGATGGTGGTGAGCACTTCAGCTTGAAATGGGTACTCCGCCGATTTCCAGTGAAATGGGTGACATCAAGGCAACCTATAATATTTCGTACTGAAACGAAAGGGTTTGTACTTAACAGAGCATGCACGCATTAATAAGGATATGGCAACCTTCGGTTAGGTATCACTAAGCCAACCGACCGAGTTCCAGATTTCCTTGGCTTGGGAGGTGTCTGAATTGCGCTGGAGGGGGGATACGAGTTGGAGCGCGGTACGATTCCGTTCAGGAGGCCATCATAAACGATACTCTTGAGGTGTCCAATGTGTGTTAGTGGAGAGCACAAGCTGGAGCGCACTGCCGGTTGGAGTATTTCTTGTTTCACACACATGTAGCCTGTCTCTCAGTTCAGCAGAATTGTCTCCAGCTCTCACAGCAGCGCATTTTCCAGGATCTCTGGAGCTCTGTTAGAGCCACATTCGCGTTTCACTTGCATCTTCACGGTTCCGCGTCTCCCTCGCCCACTCAGCGGAAACCGGGCCGGCACTGTACGCTGTGCGGGTTTGTTTGCCCTCCTGCACTTCGATCGACCCCTTGGTTGTGCCTATTGAAACGGTCTGGCGTTTGGCCCAAAATCAAAACCCGAGTGCGATGTATCAATGGCAACATTAGCCAACGTAAAAATGTAGCAGTATCGACTAGCCGAGACTAGACCGGAAGCTGCTTTTGGAAAATATGCTCCTCCTTTTCGTCAGGCCTTAAAACTAGGATCTTGCAATGCTCTTAGTACCCGTGGTGCATTGTGAACGCATGGACTTAGTTCCTTTGGCTTGGTTCCCAACGTCCCTGTAGACTCCTCATCTGGATCGGCTCTTGCAATCACCGCTCTGCTCCCACTGCCTGGTTTATGGACCTGCATACCCATGACCCCCCCATATAAGCGCGTCGCTCACGATAGGACCCATACATACACACTGCCTCCCGTTTTGCCTTCGTACACTACCCAAACTACAGAAGAAAGCGGGGTCGTCAGTGTCAGCATCGGAGGCATCGGCATCGCCACCAGTTAGTGGCGGGTACAAGCCACCGGAGAGACGGCGTTTTAATAGTCGAAGTAGTAACGACACTAGTTCGCTGCAAAAGAACGCCTCCAGCAAGCCGGTGAGACTCCAACACGATTATATCCGGGTTATGATACGAGGCGCGTATGCTTAGACGCTACCAACGGTAGGTGTCCGTCGGGGATCGGGCGAAACCCCTTCCACTGAAACCTGAAAATATAACGCGCAGTAACATTCTGACCAATGCTTTGCGAGACGGCCGACAAACACGTGGGTTCCTGCGGCGAGCCAAACTGCGCATACTTAGCCAACATGGGCTTGAGAATGTCCCACCAAAGCGGTGTAATCACAGCAGTAGAAAGTTGACGACGGTGCGTGCCGTTTGTGGTATCGCCGGGAACACCAAATGTGTCAGATTCTCGAGCCTGATGATGTGGGTATCACACGAGACCCCCAAAGCGAAGAAGATGACACGTTCGTGCGCATGAATCCGGATA